ATAAATCCAAAAACAAAGAAGACAACTTGTTTGGCCATCACGTAGTAGTTTTAAACGAAGATGACAACTTGTTGTTTCAGTTGTCGATTTATAGGAAGCCGAAGAACGCTGCACTATGAAACTGAAGAACCCTCCACGAAGCCAAGAAAGTGGGAACCCACCTCGAAACTAGGAAGACTGGCATCTTTAGAACACTCCACAAAACCAACAGGGCAAGCAAATGAAGAAACCTCCACAAAACCATGCAAAGCCTCTAGTTTTTCTCAGCAGCCGCCTATTGCCGATCAAAATGCCATTAGCAGCTGTGACAAGGATGGAAATATGGTGATCTTGACTGCAGCTGCTGATGTTGCGGTTGCTTCATCTGAAATAGCAGCCACAGGAAGTAATGATAATAAAACGAGCGGCAGCGTTACCGTCCGGGTGGGCTGCTGCTGCAGCGGTGGCGGTGGTAGTGGTGGTGGCTAAAGTATAATTAATTTATTGTATTTTCAAATAGACCATTCCTTCTTAATTTTTGTTCTTGTGACACCAGGGGCATGTGTGGATTTATATTGTGATTATTGTCTCTTTTCTTTTCTTATTCTTTTCCCTTTTAAAGGAAGGATTTGGCTTTTTTTTTTCTTCTAAAAAAATAATGGGTTTTGATGAGATTTGGAATAAGTGGCATCTACTAGAAGCTAGCAATGATAAATCATGGAAAATTAAGCATTTCAATTTCTAAGTATTTTCTTGTATATTCATTGTGCATTTATACTCGACAAGCATGTTCTAGACTAAATGCCATGAGGATTAGTACTATATTGAAATGTTGATCAATTTCAAAAATTTAATCTCACCATTGGAGCTTTTGTTTCAGATTCGAGTTCTAGGATTTTGCTTTATATATTAACTAATGTCTGTATAAAGTATGACTGATTTCTTGAAAATGCCATGGCTTGGTGTATAAAAAAAGAACTTGGCCTTTTTTATTGCATGACAAACTTTTTCTACGTCCTCAGTAACCAACACAAACGCATACAATCTACCAATAAAAGAGTCATTCTTTATAAACATCTTTTTACTTCCCTTTTACAATTTTACCTTGTAAGCCACCCAAAAAAAGAAAATTCATTAGCAGATGCAATATCCCTTTCCATGTGGTTATAAGTACAAAATCAGTTATGACCTACAAAAGAAAACCAAAAAAAAAAAAGGATTAATCTTTTCTACACTGACAGTGTATATACTATCAGCGTTGGATGATTGATAACTATGTAAAATTTGAATTTGAAATTCAATTTTTGTACACATGTCATGAATCCAACGATGATAGTGTATACATCGTCAGTGTAGGAAAGATTTACTAAAAAAAAGGGTTCAAACCATGACCATAGTAATCCAATGGTACAAAACAAAATAATTAAATTTTCTAAAACCAGGACTTTTAACCTTAAATGAAATTAAAGTTCTCCTCGCTGTCAATTTCAAGGTTCGAATCGCAGTTGCGAATGTGAAGAGTGTGGATAGGTGTAGGACGTAAAAAAAAAAAAAAACAAAACCTTAAATGAAAGAATTGATTTTCTTATTTGAAATTATAATGCCTTGGCAACCTGAAATGGATGAAAAAAAAGGTTTGTGTTCGCGTGGCTGAAGGTTTAATTATTGGATTACTTGACGGCTTCAACAGGGTCCATCAGATGACTGAATTTTCTTTACAAATGAAATTAATAATCATACTACATATTGTGAATACAAAGTTGACTTTAGTTGGCTAGCTAGCTTAGATCCAAAATTCAGTAGGACCCAAAAAACAAAATAACCAATGGAAAAAAACATTTTTCTTTACTTTGTCTTGGCAACTTTGTCATTAGAATAACTGAAGTATTGCAAAAGTCATGGGTAGACCAGAAGAAAAGGAATCCTCAGCTAAGTCATATAAGATAACACAGAAACTAAACCAGAGCCAACGAAAGATGAGCAATCAAGCACACTTCTTGAATCTGCCATCCCACCTAATCAATGATATCCTGTCCAGATTACCGACCAAGACTATCATCCAATGCAAGTCTGTCTGCAAATCATGGCTGAGTCTACTCTCTGAATCTGAATTCACTAAGTTACACCTGCAAAGATCTCCTCCTTGCCTGATCATAAACAAATTCGGTTGCCATCCTTCAGAGTTGACTTGCTTCGGTTTAGTTGAATTTGAAGATGAGCCTGATCACCATGGTTTTCGATATGTTGCGAGAACAACAATCAAGCCCCCAGAAGGGTGTATTGAGAATGGTTTGAGTGTCACCATGGTTGGCTCAATCAATGGCTTAATCTGCTTAACAGAATCCTACCATAAACATGATGCCGTTAACTTGTGGAATCCAATCATGCGAGAATCCATTGCTCTTCCGGTGCCTGAGTGGGGACGATCGTATACAAGTACGGTAAGTTATGGGTTCGGATTAAGCTCTGAATCTAGAAAATACAAGGTGGTTAGGATTTTCGTAGAGCTAGAGAAGAATACACGACATATATTAAAGTCCAATTGCTATGTTTATACGCTTGGGGAAGAGACAGAATTGTGGCGAAGAATTGAGCAGGCTCCGTTTCTGTACAATTATGGCACATATGGTGTATTTCTGAACGGTAATCTGCACTGGCTGACTGATGATCAAGATAGCTCTGAATTGATATCCTGTTTTAATCTTGAAACAGAGTTATTTTCACCTTTCCCTGCTCCTCCCGAACTCAGAAAAAATTTCAATCTTGCTAGTTTGGGAGTTTCTGGAGGCTGTCTAAGATTGTACGACAACAATTCTGATGATGAAATTGTCATTTGGGTGATGAAAGAATATGGAATCAAGAAGCTCTGGACTAAAGAATTTGTCATACAGAAGGAGCCTGTGCATCTCATTGACCCATCTTATGAACTTGTTAGCGTTCTTAAAGTCTTCAAGGATGGCGATATCTTGCTCTTGTGGAGGGATGAGTTTTTTCTTTCTTATGATTGTTGGAGGCAAATCTTGCATCAATCTGGTGTTGATAATGATAAACTCATCAAGAAAGTTGATGATCAGATGAATGAAGATGGCTATGCTGAAAAAAGCTACCCTTGCATCGATGTCATGGACTATGTCCCAAGCTTTCTTTCCCTCAAGAACTTTGGGATGCAGATGGTGGAAAGCACAAACTAGAATCTTGGTATGTTGGCTCAACTTTTTGAAGTTTCTTTTTCATCGGGATATTGTAAAAGTGTTGTATAATACTACCTTTATATTGGACACAAAGAATGAAAAAATGGAATGGTAGTGCCATTTATGCCTGGTTGAGTTTAATTTGTTTGAATTTTGTGCACAATGTTGAGATTCAATTTACTTTTACTTCCACAGATATATCAACTTCTTGGCAAGACAAGCAGTTGGCGAGTCTTTTTTATTTGTGAAATGGCTAAGTTAGTGAGTCCTAAATGATGGTCAGTTTCATCCTTATTTAGTTCATGAGATGGCAAACACATGCTATTAATTGGTCCATTAATAAATGCAGTAATTTTACCCTGTAAATTTGATATCTCCTTCCATTATGTGATTCACAATTTGAATCACCCTGAATTTGCACAAAATTAAGAGTATCCTTTGTTTCACCATATCGGAAGATGAAAGTCAAAATCCATGACATTTAAAACTTAAAAGGAGAAAAGGGGGAAAAGTTTATAAAGAATGACAATAAAAGGTTATCTCTAATATTTGTTTAACCACAACATATCTGAAGGGGGGGGAAAAGGGCTCTGCCATGCTGTGCATAACTGAGTAATCAGCCATCAGTACTATGTATTCTGATGCATTATATCTGCTAACGACTAAGACAAAGATCAGTCACCTCTCAAGTTCTTGAGAGCTTTAGTTGCACAAGGTCTCACATATGGAGAGTTGCATTTCTAAGTTAGAATTCATTGGTATAACATAATGTCCAACATGATTTTGTGGTCGGAGAGATAAAATTAGGCAAGAGACATAAATTTGGAACTTACAGGTAACTGCTAAAATGCTGCTATATTCCACATTCCTAGATTCAAAGAATTGACATGCCATATAATCATGTAGTAAATAAACCTTGAGATCCACTAGCTGGTTGGCGGCTATTCTGCAGAATAAAACTTTAGCTATAATGTGGAGTTACCGTGATCTCCAACTTTGTCATCCAACAAAACTTCTGGCAAAGAACAGAGAAAAACCTGATACCTCAATGCCTTCAATTCAGGCAGCGAATAACTTACAATTAGATTAAGTTATGACTAGTGAATAATACCATTAGTTAGGCTGTCTCTCTAACCATTCAATTACCACCACAAACAGAACTTCTACACAATCTCGTATACAGACTGAGAATTTGAAGGAAGTAGTAGATCATTAATGAGAAGCATGTGAGCTCTGCAAACATCTAAGCCTTCATTTTCTCTAAACAGGCTAGATAGCAACTAAATCACATCCACTACATCTAATGCCTTTAGGAGATATCACAAGGTGGCTGATCAGTTATCATGAATATGATTTACTTAACAAGTGAATATCCACCCCAATATCTAGTAATCCGTGTCTATATCATTATCCATCAATTGCAGTTAATAAAATTGTTGCCATTAAGAAAATTTTCTTTTACAGCTATAATCAACAATAACTCAACTAATTTCAATTTGAAGTATTTAGGGTGCAAAACACAAGTTTAGCTGTCAATAAGCAGCAAGGTAGAAGTTTCTCGTGTTATTGGTCAAAACAAAGAGACCAATGAGCTTAAAACTGCATCGAGACACTGATAAACTACAAAGATGCAATGCTACTGATATTACATAAGTTAATAGAAAACTAATGGTTGGGGGCAGTGCACAGCAACTAGCAAGGATCAAGGTCATAATGTACAGAAACATTCTACTTACTAGCTTCTATACCATTATAGCTATATACACATTCAAAAAAGAACTCCTCAATTAATGACAAGGAAAAGATGAATTCCTAACTACCAACGTCGACTAAAGCCTGAAGCACCATTCATCAATTGCCAATCAAGAACCATAAGAAAGAAACAGCGACAACAATTTTTAGGAGATAAACTGCAACATTCACTCATTCACAATTGCCTAAAATGACATCACATTTACCAATACATGCAATTCTCCATACCTTACAATGTTCAGGTAATAACAATCAAAAAGCACATCGAGCCACTAGCTAGAGTGCAAGAAGATTTTACGAACACAATTAAAGAGTAGCAAGTGTCTCCATGTGTCTGTAGGTGTCCCTCCAACGAAAACAACTATCCCACCAGTCACCATCAGTATCCTTGGGCACTACTTCAGCAAGCTCCTTGACAATCTTATCGTTGATGTCATACAATATTATCTTGCCACAGAGAGATATCAGCAGCCTCATTCTGTTCTCTTTCTCATCCTCAAGAAAATAAAGTATATGAAAATTAAATCTAAAATCGGTTGCGGGATTACAGTCTGCATCAATCATTGACGGATATAAAGTAGTCACAGGAGTAAGATCCACATGACACTTCAAAACCCATTGAGAATAGTCCCTTGCCATCTCAAAAATATCAAACAACATTGCTTCAGGGTCATTTATCTCAATGCCATACAAACACCCACCAGACTCCCCAAAGGACCAAAAATACCATCGGGCTAGAGGCATTGTCAAGTTAAAGAACTCTTTATCTGGATCAAAGCATAAACAATACTCAAAATCACTAACCCAGTGAAAATTACCATTCCACAGCACCCCGTTCCTAAAATAATTAGGTAAATATAAATCTTCCATCTCTAGTATATCCTCACTGTCCCTCCAACTCCCCTTTTCGGATGCATACACAGAAAAACCATGAAAGTCACTAGGCACCAACTGTCCAAAATTATTCGTGATCATTTCTTGTTCGCACCATGCACACACTAATTTGTAATGTTCAGATTTTAGAGGATCAAACACGATATTCAGAGCCAGAAATTCGCGGCCTCCTTCCTGAAAATCGAGCCGCGGAACAAGCCTATGCTGTCGAGTAGTCGGGTTACACACAACGAATTCCCTAGCATAGTCATCTAACATAAATGCAAGAGCTAAAAGGCCATTGCATGAATGTATATCAGTGAACTTGCCATAATTACTCAAGTGGCAAACGATGTTACCCATGGAATTAACATAATCTTCGGAGAAAGAGATGAAATTGAGATCGGGGATATCCGTCCACGTCCGGCGGCGGAACAAAAAGAGGCCTTTTGTGGCGGCGGAACTGCTGGTGGTGGTGGGATAAACTCGCGAATGTAAACTGCGGAAAGAGGGGCTGGAAATGATAGAGAGCCATCCTTTCGAGACACACTGGAAGCGAAGGAGTGATTTTGGGGGTAAATAAAGTAAAATCTGAGTCAACAGATCTTCATTGTTGGCTATAACAAACGCTGCTGCTGATGGAGCTGACGATAGAGAGGTGGAGGAGGAGGAGGAGGAGGAGGTTTCATGGCGCGGATTCTTGTGCGGTTGATTTGTTTCCTCTGGACTTGATTGTGACGGTGGGAGGTTGTTGAATCTTGATTTTCCGGCTAGTGGCTGAGCTGTTGCAGCAGGGGAGCAGACGGAAATCACTCTAGCTTTTGTAAGGTGTTTGATAGAGGGCCCATTAGCTGTAGATTTTTGAGCTGAGGATTCGGCTGAAGACATTTGCCGGGATGAGTCGCCGGGGAAGCGTTCCGATTTGCGGGCGACTGAAAATTAGGAGCTTTGCCCTACAATGAAGCGCCATGGGAAGGACAGATATGTATTGAATAAAAGGCTTAATTATAAATTGCCCCTTGTAATCACATCTCAGTACCAAATCACCCGCTGTATTCTAAAAATTTACAACTTGCCCCCTGATAAGTAAAGCCAGATGCAAATACATAGGGAAAAGCCAAATGCATGTTTACATCTTTTTCTTCCCTTTCTTCGTTCCTAAGGCTAAGTTTGGGAGTTTAGGATAGAAAAGAAAAGAAGGGAAAACTTAAGTTATGAGAGAAGAGAAGAGAAGAGAAGGGATTGTTATGTTGTTTGGGAGTTTTGAGAATTAGTGGAATGATTTTGGATATGAAAGTCATTAAATATTTGTTCAAAACATTTTTAAGGATAAAATGGGTATTTTAAAAAACTTTCATAAGCTTCCTCCAACTTTCTCTCCATTTCTCTCCAATTTGGAAGGAAAAATTTTGCATACTATTCATCCTCTTAAATCATTCCATTTCCCTTCTTTTCTTTCCTACTAAAAACTAACAAATGAAAGAAAAGCTAACTTTCTCTTCTTTCCCTTTCTTTTCTGTCCGAATCCTCCACTCCCAAACGAAGCCTAACTCTGTATACCAATTTTAATAATAATATATTAAAGAATTGAATAAATCTTTCTATGCACACTGACAGGTTGGATAAATATGACAACATTCAAATTTGACTTTAAACATCAAATTTTTATATATGTCATGCATCTAGATTCACTAGTGTATACACTATCAGTGTATAAAAGGTTTATCCGAAAGAATTTTGTTTTATAGTCAAATATATAGTGAGTTTATTTGGACAAAGATAATTTGATTTGCAAAATTTATTCTCACAAATTCCAATCACCTTTTTATCTTCCCAATCACCTTTTTATCTCATATACATCACATCACAAAAAGTGCTACAGTAAATATCTCAAATAAATCATCCAAATAAACTCTTATCCAAACAAACTCAGTGTAACTTGCTTACTAAAAATAGTTGGTCTTGTTAGTTATCACAAGAAATTGAATGGCATATACTAACAAATTTAAGTAGTTTCTATTGATATTAATTACTTATTATGCATTAACTGTTAACTATTATTAGGATGCATCAAATTTTAATAAAAATAGAAATTACGTAAAATTAGGATGCAATGACTATTTTCAGCAACGCAGCACAGATGTCTACGAATAACAGTCTTTACATCCTTATGAGACCACCAAATTATTGACCTTTTTGATCTGCAAAGATCCATTGATATCGAAATCTCCCCTGTGTATAGACACTGGTTCTTGTATTGCCAAGAAACAACAACTTCTCTTTTGAAGGTTACCCTTACAATTTTGTTGTGGTTGGTAAAAATCTGAAGGCATCTTATATTAAAGAAAATTGTACCATCACCAGAAGAGTTCCCATACAGTTGGAGCCCATTCAGTCTTAAAAAGGGGATATTTCATTTCTATATCTCCACAAATATCTGCTGGCAAATGGCTTTAACTTCTCATGGCCTGGACTTGCATTTTACTCCCATGGTTCAAAGTCGCGGTCGTAATCGAGGTTTGGACTTTTGCACATCGGTCTCGGCATATCGGTCACGATCCTGACAAAGCATAAATTTTAAATCATTTAATATTTTAAAAATTGTGAATAATATTCAAAAATAAAAAAAAATAGCAAAAGAAAATCTGTAAAATATAAATTTGCAAGTTAATACGGGATGACTCAAACCGACTCGGCCGAGATTATTCGTATCAGAGATTTCTCGGCGACTCAATCGAATTCTTGGCGAGTCAAGTATCTCGAAGTCGTCTGGTCCCAATATCGTATCGGAGGAATCCGGTCCGGTGACTTTGAACCATGTTTACTCCCCAAAGAAATCGTCATTCTGTAAGTTCATTACTTTCTCTCAGTGCGATTTCTCCAATTGAATGCAACATATTGTGTTCTTTTTGCACGTGGAGTGCTTTCATTTTGTTAACTTATGATTTGTTTGTAATTATTATGTTTTATCTTATCAATTCTCACTTCAATCCCTGATAGTGGTCCAGTTGTTTGCAATTTTTTTGCTGAATTCGACAACTGTGTCATTACGGGAAAGTTTAGCTAATGTCAAATTTCATTCTTGGAGAATGTAGGCCACTTGGTATCGATGTCCTACTACTTATTCGACTTCTTTAATATTTCCAAGCTGCGGAATTCTCCACAGCTTGTGGGTGAGTGGATCAAATGTTAGTATTTGCATACAGTCTTCTAAGTTTGTTTTATACTTTCTTCCTCATCTATATAAATCCTCTGTTGTCTGCAGAAGTTGCGGGAACGGGATTAGGTAAGGAGTTAAATCTGTAAATTGAAATGAAATTCCAATCGTTAATGTATACTACTACTACTACTATAGACATAGTAATTTGTCTTTCTTCTTGATCTATTGCAGAACTAACCATTGTAGCAAGAATTTCATTGGCGTTATACTTTTACTAGGTTTTCTGATTTGTAGGTGGAATCGGAGGCATTTATCAATGTATGATACAATGGAAGAATTCCTACAAACGAACAATGGCCTTGTGCCAATTACGTACTCATACAAAGAAATAAAGGCAATGACCAACAATTTTAAGGAGAAATTAGGTGAAGGCGGCTATGGTTCAGTATACAAAGGAAGACTGCGAAGTGTTCATTTAGCTGCTGTGAAGATGCTAAACAAATCAAAAGCTAATGGACAAGAATTCATAGATGAAGTTGCAACAATTGAAAGAATTCACCATGTGAACGTGGCTCGACTAGTGGGATTTTGTGTGATCGCCTCAAAGGGTGCTCTAGTCTATGATTACATGTCAAATGGCTCCCTAGATAAGTTAATTTTCTCAGATGGTCCAGATGGTTCTCCATTAAGTTGGAAGCAAGCTTGTGAGATTGCAAAGGGTGTTGCTCGTGGGATTGACTACTTGCATCAAGGCTGTAACATGCAAATTCTGCATTTTGACATTAAACCGCACAACATCTTACTCGACGAGAACTTTGTTCCAAAAGTTTCGGACTTTGGACTTGCAAAACTTTACCCGATGCAGAAGAGTGTTTCAACTCTTACTACTGTGAGAGGAATATTAGGTTACATGGCTCCAGAATTGTTCTACAAAAGGGTTGGAAGAGTCTCGCATAAGGCGAACGTTTACAGCTATGGAATGTTACTAATGGAGATGGCAGGAAGGTGAAGAAATGCAAATGAGCATGCTGAGCATTCAAGTCAAATATACTTCCCTTCATGGATATATGATAGATTTGACCAAGGAGAGGACATAGAAATCAGAGATAATGCAACTGAAGATGAAAAAATAGTTACAAGAAAATTGATTTTGATAGCATTGTGGTGCACACAGATGACACTGGATAATCGTCCTTCAATGAGAGGAGTCTTAGAAATGCTTGAAGGTGATCTTAGGAGCCTAAAATTGCCCCCTAAACAGTTGTTTTATCCTCCAGATTCACCCATATCCATGCAAAGAAGCAGTCATACTAGTCCTTCCGTTGAGTCAACAGAACCACTGTGTAGCTCTGTTGCTTTAGAAATAGAGCAGATGGATGACTATACTCCTACATTCACTGAAAGCTTTGTATGGTAGATTTGTATTTCAGACTCCTAATATGCCACCTAGTACCATTTGGCAGTTAACAGGTAAGCCGAACCCTCAAGTTTGGCACCAATAAAAACTGAAAGGTAGCACCATGATAGATGCTTCATATGCAGTAGCAGGACCAACCTTTGTGTCTAACTTGAAAATTTTCCTCCAATAATTTATATAAGTGGGATCGAATATCCGATCTTTCTAAAATAATTATGCTATTTATAACAAGAAGCAGTATATCAGTCTTTTTCCAGTAGTGTTGGTGTTACTGGGCAAATTTTTGACTTAAACTAGACCTGTAGCCTTTCTATTACTTTGATCCTTGGAGTTTTCCTTAAAACCAGTCTTTCCTCAATGTGCCCCAGCAACACATTTTATGTTTAATGCATGCTAGCATTGACAGTGGAGGTGAACAATCCATGGCATACCTGATAGACTTTTCAACAAATCATGAAGAAGAAACAGACTAATGTTCGTTGATGGTGCCTTATTCTTTATTGTTCATGTATTTATGTTGTGTTTAATCTAAGGAATTTGACACTTCAGATTATTGAAGTAACCAAGAATTTCTGTTATATCCAATCTTAGATCTAAAGAATATGAATGCCGTATGATTTGCAGTAAATGTAACTTGATCTACTAGCTAGTAGACAATTGTTCTACAGAAGGAAAACTTAGCTATAATGTGGACTTACCAAGATCTCTAACTTTGTTATCCAACAAGACTGCTTACAAGAAAAGAAAAAGCCTGATATGACAACCCATCCAATTCAGGGGGTGAATGACTTTATAATTGGTCAAATTATGACAAGTGAATAATCTCATTAACTTTTCATAGCCAGGCACTCTCAGAAAGTTCAATTCCCATCACAAAACAGAACTAATATGCTATCTCATGTGCAAATTGAAAATATCAAGAATGTAGTAGTTCATTGATGAGGGTATGTGAACCCTACAAACATATGAGGATGGATTTTATCAAAAAGGGATACATCGCAATAACATCACATCCACTACATTTGACAACTAGAGTGCAAAGGCTTTACACTCGAGAATGTCACCTAAGAAACAAGAATCACCAATATGATGCCAACAAATTTCTTAACTGATACATGGAAAATTACAATTGAGCTCCATATATATTTTCCAAAATTAAGTCTCCATAGAGCATGATTGCATGAACGGTTTCAAGAACTCTATCTTTCTCCATCAACTCAATGAAACAACATCTTCTGCATATTAGAATGCAAATGTTCTAGTTTCTTTTGTTTCTTTAAGCTAATAATCTACCTCCACAAAACACCAAGTACAAAATGTAAGCAATTTATAGAAGAATTTTGATGTAAAGAGTCAACCATGTATAAGAAGAGAGCTTATGAGCTTAAGAGCTCATGGAAATGAATCTGTTGATTCAATTATTATGAACGGATGCATCAGGATACAGGATATGAAGTTTTAACTCCCTTACTCAGCCTTCAACTATGCGCAGAGTGCCTAATTCATTGAAACATTATGACTAAATAAGCAAACGACACAACATTTTCTGAACATTCGTCCCCAAAGAGGAAAAAGAAAAGCAAATCAGAAGCTCCTTAATATGTTCAGGATAAGATGAAATGCAGCTTCCTTTAGATTTGCTTGGACCCCCTTTCTGATTTAGTAACTACTGGTACATTCTCTAATGTTAGCAAAAACTTCATTGAATTCCACATCTATCCTCATTAATAGGACAAAGAAGCAATGTCATTGTTAGTAAAACATGGTAGAAGAATAGAGAAGACAGACAAATTTCAGAAAGCTGAAGGGGAAGTTAGTATAATCTCCAAGTCAGCGAGAAAAAGGTCAAAATAATTTACTTCCAAGCATATAGTCTGTTAGTTCACCTTTCATGTGTTCCACGACATTACAGCTCCATGTTGAAAAAACTTCCAATTAGATTAGAACCTCACAATGAATGAAGGTTTGCTTCTAAGAAAATACTCAAGAAAAGCTTCAGGTTTCTACTTTACTAAACATCCTGAGAAAAGAAGCAATGCTGGCTGAAGCTGATTCCTACAGGAGACAGCACAAGGAGGCATGTTGTGAACATGATTTCTAGTACATGTGTAAATATCCACTATGATATCTAGTACATGTTAAAATTAGCTTCCAAACTCAGCCAGTCAACACAATTTATTCTCATCCCACTAGTCTCTGGGGTTTCTACTCTTCTCTTCCAAAAGACTAGCGCAGATGATACCGTCACCGCTCTCCCTCTGCTTTCTTGCTCTTCCTGTTGGTGATCAAATTTCCAAACTCACGCCAGTCCTCTCATCCTCTTTAAGTCTCTTTTTCTTTGTATTCTGAATTCTTCTCTTTTTTTCTCATTCTCTCGTTCAATTGCTAATTTATTTGAACCACTTTTTCCCTTCGGAATCTCTTAAAACTTCAAAACCTAAAGACGATTGAAGAACCGCACAAGTGTAGATTCGTAGTTCATTCTGGAATCTCATTACTTGATTCAAGGCCACCCTGATTTTGTTTCTCTCAACTTTTGCAGTTGATTCTCCTTTTTCCCTTTGATTTTACTTTTCTTGCTAGCTTGTGAAAGTCACCGAATTTCTCATTTTCTCTTAAATGTGCTTTGATTGAGGTTTTCAGTGAAAATATAGGTTTTAGCAGAACAGAAATGTTAACGTCATGATTTTCTCGTGGCTACAACAGATACAGGAATCATCTTGTAAAAGCAGAATTTGCAATTCATAGGATTGACTACGTAGGCCATGGAAAGTCATTGGTTTTGTTAATTACTGCTTGGATCACTTCACCAATATCTGCGGTAAAAATGAAACAAATCCACTATTTCTTATTTATCAGAGGAGGATCCTATGGCTGAATCTCCTACTTTATCCGAGAGACAAGAAAGAAAACAGGAAGAAGATGAGAATATTACTGGGAGAAATCAATAGGAGGAGCAGTGGTTCTCCTCTTAAGCAAGAAAAAGTGGTTCAAGGGTTAGCCCAAGCAATTTTTGGACCAAAATCCACTGGTCCAAAATGGTTAATCTAAATCACTATGTAGTCTATGCACCCAAGTCCTTGAACCATTCTTTTGTGGGATACTATATTCTTCCCACTTGGTCCACTTGGTCATACTCGGATTCTAAAGGTGACTCATACGGGTTCTAGGGCACACTTAGATCTTTACATTCCTTTACATAGTCAGATCCATAACCCATTGACCCAGACTCACCCCATGCAGAAACAACTGTCACAACCCGAATCCAAGAGCTGGCCCAAACAATTTTTAGATCGAAATCCACTAGGCCAAAATGGTTAACTCAAATTACTATGTAGTCCAAGCACCCAAGTTCTTAAAGCATTCTTTTCTCCTTCATTCTACCGATGTAGGATGTTACAATTGGGATGGTAGCTCCAATATGTTTGTTTATCCAGATTGGCAGCAAAGCAGTTTTCTTGTTGCAGTGACAGGGTGTCGAGCCTATGCAATAATAATTACCTACTCGAGGAAAATACATATTTTGTATATAGTGGTGAGTAGGGTCGAATCCACAGGGATTGGGAAATAATTCGTTTCTTCTAAAGTTCAGTGCATGGGGGATTTTTGGAAAATATAAAATTAGTAATTAACTAACTAATGAGACAACTAAGAGAAATAAATAGGAAATAATCAATAACCAATACGACTCTAGCCAAAGGTGCAACTTTTCAGACACGGTCCATTCAACTGATCATCGATGCAAAGATAATTCAATTACTCATTAATAGATTGGTTATAGTTGTCGTAAACGCGATGAACAACCAGCTTTTCCTTAATTTCTCGATAGCTAAGGTACGACCGTTAATTATTTCTCTAACCAAGAAATAACCCTAGGTACAACCGTAGGATTTAATTACTTGATTGCATTAATAATTAGAAAAGCCCAACCCTAACCAACAAACACGTTACGAGGGTTTGTTTAAATTAGATCATACGTCTCCCTAACATGAAACCAATCACGCTAGTCGCCACTAGTATTAATCAATTGAATAATTACGGATTCAATCAATTAATTTGGCATTAGATCATTAAGTTAATTCGAATATCGGGCCCTTGACATTCAAATAACATAACAAGCATAAATAATTAAATCAGGAAACGTACAAATACCAGTGAATAAAAGAAATAAATAAAATTAATTCGATCTCACATATATCTGAAAGCGCGCCTTCAAGTTGGCCTTCGACTAGATGAGAGGCTTAGTTAATTTACATGGAGGAAACCCCATTTGAAATTGCAGAAGTAATTATTCTAAAACAAAGCTATGTTTCCCCATCGTCCCCATAGAAAAAAACGGCAAAGCTATATAAAAAGTAATGAATACGGAGGAACTAGCTAGAAGCAAAAACAAAACGAAGCTCTCGTATTCTAAAACAAAAACTACTTGTCTACTTATTTGTGTCCCTTGTCCATTCCTAATCAGTCCCTAATGGAAATGAAAAGAAAATGCACTCCCTCTGCCGCACTCTGTGGGCCAAGTTGTTGAAGCTCTTTGGAGTCTCCCATGTGTGGAGCAATTTTCTTCAACAGGTCCCCCTTTTTAGCATATTTTAATTCCATTTTCTGTAGATAGGTCCAAATACCAAATATAAGTATATATTAACAATTTAAAACAATATTTAGTAAGGACAAAGGGGAAATTAATAATAAAATAACTAACAATTAACACCCTATCATGCAGTATCCTTGGAGTTGATATTGATCGTGGTGAGTTTTACCAATTTAATCTTAGTGCCCCTCTATTGACTGTTGCATGCATTTTTGCTTCTAAATGTGAATGAGGAAGAGTTTACCACAATGCATGAAATTAAATTTCCGTAGGTAGTAGCTTATCATGATGTATTTGGCATTTCTTTATTTGATTAAGCTTTTCTTTTTGTAGAATCTTCCAGCAATTTGGTAAGAAATATAAATTTGATTGTTCTTTTAGTTGTTTTGAGGGAAAGATATAGCTTCTG